CATATTCTACATTATTTGTGTTTTTTTTTCTAATTTTGTTTATGTTTCATTACTTTCTAATATCCAAACTTATACATACTCATTCAGATTAAAATTAATAACATGTATTTAACGCTGTCAAATTATTGTCGACATTGTTGCACTAAATAAGCTGAGTTTTAATTTCTGGCTCCATACATTTTTAATTGTTGCAAACATTTTTTTCGTTTCTCAAGATCAATCTGTCTTTATACTTTGTTGCTCCATCTAATATGCTTCGGAAATTAATGAAATAACTTGGTCAATTTCGGAATATAATTGCAATTCGATTTTTGTCCACTGTTCCGATTCTTTTTTCTTATATTATCAAAAAAATAGCAGAATCACGAGAGATATTTTTGTCATTTAGATTTAGGTTTCTTTGAATGAACAATATCGATTGCATCAATAATACAATACTTATTCTATCGATTTCAAACATATTGTCCGAGAATTCTCTTCTTTGAGTGTATTCTGTTGAAGCCATTTTTCTTTCGATGAAAGATTCAACATTAATCTTTGTCTTCTATGCATTTCAAAAAGAAAAAGAACTTTTGCACATGTGCATCAGCATATTCTATTGTCGAACAGTAATTAGCTCGAATATTTGATGAACGAAGCAGCGAACTATCTATTTTACGTTTCAATTTAATCTTATCATTAAACGAAAATTTCATCACTACTTGGTATTACTTGATCGATATTCTATTAAAGGCACCATGACATGAAGATCTCAAAATTTATAAATTTTTTTGTGTTGTAGAATGTTGCTCTGGCAAATTGACGTTTCCATCAACTCGCATGTTTTCGTCATCAAGACATGTATTTCATTAGAGTGGATCATTCACCTCTTGGTAAGTTATAATAAGCAGTTTCTCTCGTCAGTATGTAGAGCGCGAAATTTCTTTTCTCTTTATAGAAATCATGTAAAAAAGACAGAACGAATGTTGTGCCCAACACAGCGCCGAGAAAAGTTGCTTAAAAACAACTTACCAAGAGATAAATGGTCAGTTCTGATCAATTACATGTTGCGATGACGAAAATGTGCGAGTTAACAACAAAATTATACTTATTCGAACTCATTTGTATAAAAATTTACAGAAGAACCTATATGCCTTGATGCATATGCGTAGTCTGACAATAAAATAAATACAAACACTTGATGATGGAAGTAGTGTGATAAAGCATAGGGTTTAAAAACGATGATTGACGTCTGTCTCTTTGAATGAAATATAGTTACTATTTAGTATATTTGATATAAATGCTCATTGAGTTATGATTGAAGTGATTGTTGATGAATCGACGTTCAAGTAATCATCTGGATGTTGGAACAAAAAGAAGGTTTGGTTAGTCTAGGATAACTTAGAAGGTAGGTATGAAAAATAAAAATATCGAAGTAGACTATAAAGATGACACAAATTCAGAAAGTGCTGCTATATGAAAAAACTTCTATGAAATTTGGTAATGTTAAGCTACTGCACTTTTTGTTATAGTATTAACTCGGATTCAATTACGCTGAAGTGTATATAGGCGAAAATATTGTTGTTTCATAAAGACTTCTTTTTGAGTATACTTTGATATAGAATTGTGATAAATGAATTTGGTTTTTTATCTTATATCAGAAAACTATATGGAAACAATTTCTTGCATTAAGACACTGGCTTTTGGGATCTAGAATAGTAACTAATTATTTTTGTAATAGATGTCAATACAATCGTGAAGAAGCAGCATTTCTTGTATTGATTGCCATTGATGAAACTACTTTGGTCTCGATCATATCATCGATGAAGAAATGTATTTCACTATACTAAGTGTCTTCTTTTTAATTCAAAATTTCGAAAACTGTACATGATGAAATCTAGAGTATTGAGAGTATTGTTTATTGCACTTATTAGTGATCATTTCATAAACTTTGTACAATCAAACATGTATGAAATAAAACTCTCATTAATAAGGAATAATACAATAGACACAAAACGTAAATCGCTGATATGATTGAAAAGATAGTTGTATTTCTTTTTTTTTTTTCGAGTAGACTTTTCCGACGTGATGTAGAGGAGACAAGAGATTTATGTCGCTGATTGATTCGAAGACACAATATGTGCGATAGATTCATTCAATAGCAAAGGGCAAGTTCATTTTTACTTCGTTTATGGAAAGTGCTGCTCTGAGAGATTTATGTTGATAGCAATGTACTCATGTACGTCATCGCAACACTGTATTTGACTTGAGTTCATCATCTACCTCTTGATATATTTGTAGTAAGCAACTGCGCTTGATGATCTCTGATGAACAACATGGGTTTTGGCTTTGCCCATTACAAAAGTCTTAATTCAAGAAGATAAGTATCTGTTGTCATCGATTTAAAAGTCACCGTTGATTTTATTGAGACTAGATTTTATGAAGAAGATATTCGGACATCAACCAGGATCAATCAAATTCACTTGAAACTGTTTCACAGGTTGTGTCAAAACTGCAGTGTCGTCAAGCTTGATCCACTTCTGTTTCCATTGGGACATGTAAGTTCAATTAACATTACACAAAATACTGTGTTTTTTTCTTTACGACAATCTAAAAATGTTTTACATGATAATGTTATCAAATAGTTCTACTAATTACTTTTGATACTTCTGATAATTAGGGAAAAGCAAGTATTCACAGTAGATTTTATTAGTAGAAAGTTATGCATGTGGAAAATAAAAAAGTATAGATATTCATGCACTAATTTTCAATTAACTAAAACTTTTCAAGATTTAATTCCAACAGTAAAACTGATCTTTTATTGATATAGTATATAATTGATTGTAACCAAAAAGTGAACTGAAATATATGGAGATAACAAAAGAATTAGAGTACATTCGATATGTAAAAATATAGACTATTGCCTTTATACGAAAACTTTAATAATAGTATGTTTCTAGTAATAATTCAAGTTAATTTATATCCATATAAAAGTTGTAATTTAAAAAAAAAAACGAATTCCAAGCATTTCATATCATAGTAGTGTTTCCTTAAGTCTAAGCTTGCAAGTTTCTATTGTATAAACCTCGTCTTTTTTTTCTGGTCTATCGATTTAAAAAACTAAATATTCTAAATGTAGAATCCACATTCCAGCTGATATTAAGGTGAACTTCTTATTGATAACATTATTCTAGTTTGTTGACGAAAAAATTTGCTTTTACTAATATGACTCATAATCTATGATTCACGAATAAAATCGAACATGTATGTTGCATAATTTGAGTAGAGATGAATATTATGAAACAATCTAATTAATTGCAAAAAACTTTCTTTTTGTTTAGGAACAACTGTTTGAAATGTGTAAAGACAAACTCTATGTAAACATTTTAACTTCGACATTAAGTTCATGCTTGATGGTCTTTTCAGTTAAGATCGAAGTATAGTATTGATTTTCGTCGATTTGAAAGTCAGCATTGCCTGAAAAGGCCGAGCTCTTTCGAACGGATTTTTGAAACATGGAAAGGCTCATGTTATGGAGCTTCTTGACACTACAGTCTCGCCGAGTTTGGTCCACTCTCATTTCCTTCTGGAGACAGAAACCATTTGGTATTATAAACTTACATGAGAGAACCTTAGTCGTTTTTCATACGAATTAAGAAGAAATGAAGTTTATTATTGATGTACTGATACAATAGTTCGTGATATTATCATTTATGAGTTAGCTATAATGATTGTACTTCTGTTGTTTTTATTTTGACAAATAACATACAATGTAAGTTCTGTTAGAATGAGATATTCACGAATTCAAAATCATTAAAAGAAAAACCAAGTATAAAAAAATAAAGGGTGGTCAGAAAGTTTCGACCCCTCTCTGTAAATTGATGTTATCTACATGAATACATATGTAGATAGTTGATTGAAATATACAGTTTTGTAGAGAATGAGAAGGGCTATCATCTGAAAAAAAGATAATTGAAATTGTGTCGCAGCTATGAAAAGTTATGATCATTTTATTCATGATGACAAAGCAAAAACACGTTACATTTTTTGCAAAAACANATGAGTAAAGCATAAGTGTTTTCCATCTAGAAGAATAATAATAAGACGACACTTAAAAAATATGAAGTAATTGAATTCTAATTTTAGTTAAAACTCAACACTATATATGAAAATTAGTCGAGGGAAAGAATAATATACGTGGTAGCTTACCGAGCAATAAAGTAAATATGCATAACAGGCTCATATAGTAGTTGAACCGATGAAAGGAACAATAAAATTAGATCTGCTGCTTCGTATGACATGCATCGTGTAGATATTATCAATGAGAGAATAGAAGTTATGCACTGAAGATGTATATGACAACAGAAATAATTTTTTTCAATATTACGATGTTAAATGAATTGAATAATCTGATAGACAAGGAATAAATATGAATAGTTTCAACAAAATAAACTTTCAGAGCTCGCGTATCAGCTATAAAAATTATTATAATTCTGATTTATTCATCTATTTATATAGAATTTTTTTAATAACTTATTTTAAAACGTCTGACAATATATATGAAATTTATAACGCTCAGAGTTTGTGAGTTCCACCTTTCAGCCCCTCTTGGCGCCTCACTTACAAGTTTTTTAATGACACCAAATAAGATTCTTACATTCACAGAAGATCCAAATATCTAATATACTTCAAAGTTCCTCTAATGCATAGAACACATTTTTCAATGTGTATTTTTTATTAGAATTGAAATCAGTGAAAAAATAGAAAAGACGAAGAAAAACAGCTGAATGAAAATTTGAAAGAAGAATGCTGGAAAGTCAATCGTATTCACTGACATTGATAATGGCCGATAACCATGTTTGATTTTTAGTATTGAGTTACTTTTGTGTAATATTACCTACGAAGAAACAAGTTAGACTAGATCATCAAATACAGAATCAGAAAAAACTAAAAATAGGTATGAAAATTGTAGAAGAAACATCAAAACATACTGGCAAACAGTTAAAATTGAAACAATGCACTTACGCAGCATCTTTGTTTGTTTCGAAACGAATTTTTTTACCGCGAGCATGCCAATTATTAGGAGGAGCAACACTAACACGACAACGATTACGACGACGATCAAAACCATCACAACGATCACTATTAACAATACCATCCTCATTAGTAGTAACAGCACCACTGGAACTGCAATCACAACGGTACTGACGACCAAAAGGCCAGCTCTTGCGACAATAAACACAATGACCGACATTAGGATCTCTATTATCGCAACACTCAGAAACATCGTTACACAGACCACCAATAGAAATACAATTACGTTTCTTATCAGGTTGGGTGAAACCTTTCTTTCCGCGTACAGTGCAATACGATGCCAAAAATGCCATAATGAACATAACATACATCACTAACTTGATACTGCTCATCTTGTTGCCTTGAATAAGTTGTAATAAATGTCTGCTGCCATTGTGATTTTTATACACGTATCAAGGAGTTATAGAAAAGAATAGATTTTTTTTTCATTCATAATATCTAAGAAATTGGAAGCAATTAGTTTTGAAGGGTACTTGAACAACATCGAATAATCTAATGTGTTATTATCGAAAACCAAATTATTTGTTTTCTCTTAATACGAATAGATTTAATGTCGCCTACAGGCGTATAGTTCCCATTATACTAGAAAAATATGATTAAAAATAATGATAACCGTAATGGAATCCTTTCTTCTAAATAATAACATAACGATTTGGACCAGCTGTAAGTGCATCGCCAACAGCAAGAAAAGAAGTGAAATTCACATCATCAAGTTAGAACTTCAAACATTTCTGTGAGGCTTTTTCTTTCAATAACATCATATACACAGTTCTTTCTCGCAACAAAATGTACCATTTTTCTTTTCGATACTGTCAAGTTGTGCATAGAAGAAATAGGAATTTCAGATTTTTACTCATCGTATTTTTTTCTGCTCTTTTATCCCCACGTTTTTAAATAGATTCCTCTTTATTCTAACAAATAGTCGCCGTTACACTTCTTCTGAACTACACACTCACCTTTAAATTAAACATAAGATATAGCTCGACGTTAACTTAATTGAAATGAAAGAGTATAGATCATGAGACAAATACATAAGCTTGAATATATGATTAAAGTTCAAAGACTTTGTTTCAAGAAAATGGAGATCGATCCTTTTCTTGATCGGCAAAAAACAACTCGATTAAGGGTATGGGTGTGGTGTGTGGTGAGCGATAGGGGTGAAGGTGTTGTTCTGGTTTTCACAGACTCCATACTAACTCCCACACCCACACCCTCGCAGACATCGAGTCA